AAACCATTCTAGAACACGGAATATAAGAATAAAGAAATACAGAAGATCATACTGAAAAATTTAAGAAACTAGTGATTCTCACAGCAATTGCATGTGGTTTGCAATATCCGAAATATCAGCTACCATTTCACCAACTCTAGGACCCCACGCGCTTTGGTATGTCGGGGCACCAGGGACTTCCTTTATAGGGTATACCCGGTTCCCCGGCTATTAGTACCCGAGACGGCGTGCGGTTTTAGTCGGTTCGAGTCCGACATGGTGGTATCCGAGGGGATTTCCACATGGAAAAAAAAAAAAAAAAAACCCCACGCGCTCATTCATCATCACCATGATCATCAGCAGCCTCAAATAGTCCACTGCTGGACATAGGCCTCTCCTTAGTAACGACGTTTTGGCGTACTATACCACGCTGACAAGACGGGTTGGTATAGGGTTTGTTTCAAGTTTTCCTTCTCTTTGCAGTGTTGTTACGACACCTACGGGAAGAATTGAGATGGTGACAGTCCGTATTTTTAATCCATCAACTCATTGGCCACGATGTGCGCTCATTGGTCAAATAAAATGAGAGTGCTTCCCCGGCTAATACACACCTCCGTCCTTTTTTTTGAAAGCTAGGGACGAAAATTGTTACACATAAACCAATTACTGAACAGTACCCGACAAGAACAAGGACATACCGAGATATTCATCTCTTAGACTGGATCCGTACTTTATGAAAACGATAATAATATGCAATGGTATTCTCTTCATTTAGTAAGTGGTTTTATTTCATTGTTATTTAATTCTTAAGAGTATTTTTCTTTCTTCCAACTTTGATACGATCTACTTTTAATTGAGGAGCGGCTAAGCACGAATCGTATTTAAGAACATAGTGCCTACGCATCAAACGTGTTATTATATTTTAATTGAAGTCGAATACTACGACATTTTCCTTCCTAATTGTTCTCTCACTGCTGAGGTGACTCCCTTTCATCCTGTTAACTATCTGCTTCAAGCGATCAGTCGCTTGGTAGAGTACGATACTTATCTTCATCTCCAGCTGTTCAGCGTCTTCTGAGACTTCTGTCTCTGAGTCTCTTCCCTTCCATTCACCATCAATTGCTATAGGTTTTCATCATGGCATCAAGTATAATAATAATTATAACTTAAACACAGCCGTCTGATCCCAAACTAGACAGTCTATATTAGGAAAAACATACTTAAATATTTCTAAATACATACATATTGGGTATTTTCGTAGTAAAGTATTAAACATCCAAAGTTGACTGTAATGTGATTATATCGTATTGTAACCGAAAATTATTTATTTATTTTATTTTAAAAAGACAACTCCCGCATTAGGAATATATCCTGTGTCCATGCATGAAACGGACACAAAGAACACCCAGACTCAGAATAACAATTTGTGGATCACACAAAGTGTCGTCCCATGTGGGGATCGAACCCACAACACTCAGCGTAGTAGTAACTGGCGTGGCGACCGCTTAAACCACTACGCCATCCGTGCATCCGTGAATCGGTAATCTGCTAGTCGTAGTACGAGTAATACTTTAATATTTTACTACGAAAATACCTATCATGACAGTTGTGAGATCGAAAGTTGATCGGAACTGAATTGTGACTGAACTTTTATCACGAGAATTGGCCTTCTGGTTTTGACAAAACCAAATATAATCTTTTTTTGATACGGACCCCTAAAATCAAAAAGGTATAATATCATTCCGTTTTTGGTACGAACGCTGAATTGAAGATGTCCGTTCAATTAATTCTCCACGTAATTACATAATGTATTTAGATTTCCCGGCCACTTTGCATAATGGCTGGGGATTAGTTAAAACAATGCCCAAAGAGAACGAATTTGTAAAGGGAATTGTGGAAAGTTTCGCTCTTAGTACTAATTTTACTACACATCTGTTAATTTTCAATGCTTTTTTTTACCTAAGGTCAGGTTAAATTTAGATTTTAGTTACTTTAAACGAGAAGACGAATCACACGATGGTAAATCATTACCTCCGTCCATGGACATCGGCAACAACAACCATATATGTTACAAAACCTACTACAAAATATCCATGTGTGTAACACAGTTTTTTGCAATAAATGTTTTTGTCTTTACAAAAGAGATACCTTGTGCCAAGGAGTTAAGGGATGGTGGGTCTCTGGTGTATATATCTAAACAACTGGGTACTTCGTCGATTGACACCACGAGCTGTTTACACCACGGCGGTTGTAACATCACTACGTTAGTAAGTTATGTCACGTCACTAAGGTACGTAGCACTATGTACATACTTGAGTAGTCAGTGCTCTGCTGTCTACTAGTGATGCGCAAAATGTATCACTGAGCTGAAAACATTGATACATATCATTTCGCTCAAAAGATATAAATCACTCATCTAGCTCACTAGCTCATTGCGCTCACTAACTCGTTTAGCTCACTAGCTCATGGATCCGATTCAATTGATTGGTCTCTCAATTAATTCATTTAGCTCAGGGTACTCGTATATTACTCACTTCAAGCCTCTTTCGCCATACAAACTTTTCTTTATTTTCATATTAACCTAAATTCAGTTTTTGAAACCACATTTTTAACCTATTTTTTTAAAACACAATTTTATTCATTTTGATAAGATTACAAAATTATTAACATCCTTTATATAATAATTAAAAATAAGAATAATTTTATTTTCCTTGTACTTGGCAGGCTTAATTCTAAAGTAATATTAAACTTTGATCCTATAGAAATAATGTAACTCAACCATCATCTACTCGTATCTCACTCATTTATCTTCGTTGTCGTGCGTCGTTGAGTGATCTAGTGATCTAGTGAGCTAGTACTGAGTTACTGATATATTCGGAGCAAGTGTGAGTGAGTGATACATTTTATAGTCGTGAATAATATATATATTTTATATCACTCACTCAGGAGCTACACAACTCTACTGTCTACGACACTGTAATGTACCTAGTCAAAGTATGTCTATGTAATACTCTAATTCTATGATAATATAATAGTCAAGAAGTGATTACATTTATAACTACGTCCCAAAGCCATAGAAGAATATAACTAAGACATCGTTTGGTACCATGGTTTAGATCAACGTATATCTTTTGTCAATCGCACCGTGAGTCGAACCATAAACGTATTCATTTTGACGTAGTTGATATGGACCTACTATATTTTAGTATTTAAAGATAGTCAAGCACAAAAGCGTTTAACGGATTTAGTTTTATGTATTTGTGTTGTATATGTATGGATTTGTAATAAGTTAAGAGTTATGTAGAGACCTTGTTTAATAGAAGTTATTAGGATGCACACAGTTAATAACATTATGTAACTTAATGTAACCGAAGTGAAATGTGCCACATTTGATTTAAAATGTATCCATAATAATATTATAAATAGTCGCGGGAAAAGACATAGGCTATACGCCTGCCTATACATATGTCGGTTGTCACGGTAAAAAGCCTATGTCCTTTCTCAAGAATCTAACTATCTTTATACTAAATTTAATCTAAATCGGTTCGGCGGTTATTGTTTGCCCATACAAACTTCCACCACCCTTTTCATCCCTTAAAGGATGATTTCTGGGATAAAAACTATCCTATGTCCTTTCCCGGGGCTCAAGCTATCTCTATACCAAATTTCATTTAAATCGCTTTAGCGGTATAAGCGTGAAGAGGTAACAGACAAACAGACAGACACATAGACAGACACCCTTTTGCATTTATAATATTAGTATGGATATTGGTATGGATTCCAAGTCAAATAAAACAAATTAAAAACCTAATAAATTCGACTTTGACATTCGTACATAAAACCTGATTCCAACATATTCTCACACATATATTACATTCTTGGTAGTCATGTCGTAGGACTTGTAATAAATCAGGAGTGTTACAAACTTTACTAGGGATTTCCTTTCCTACCAGCGAATCCGACGTAACCATCCCACCGGTGCGGTGGTGCGGTGGGGGTGTGCGATGGGATTTCCGTACGAAAAAAACGGCTATCAGTCAAACTATTTTATCAATAAAGTACGTTCCCTTTTTGAAATTGCATTTAGTTGCTGATAGACGTGAAAATTCAATTGTTTTCGAACCATTCGCTGTTTTTGAATTTGTTGAACAGAACAACGAATATTCACGATCATTGTAGCAAACTTTCTAATAGGCTCTTTAGACTTTTTAGTAAAAGGAAGTACAGTAAAATTGCTCAGTTAACTATAGCCTTCACTATTATATCTCCTGTTGCAAGTTATTAATAGGAATACAATTTAGAAAATTAAGAACTTCCATACAACCGTTCATCCCTTATTTTACCCCCTTGGCAGTGTAATTTATAACAATCATATTAATCCGTGCGTGTAGTGACGGATTAAGAATACGGAATGTCACCACCCCAATTCATCCGGTGAGTGTCGTAAGAGCCAACTAAGGTCGCAAAACAACGCAGGACACCAGCACTGCGAAGAGAAGGAAAACTTGACACAAATCCTATACCAACCCGTTTGGCTAGCGTGGTATAATAGGCCAAAACCTCCCTTTTAAGGAGAGGCCTATGTCCAGCAGTGGACTATTAAAGGCTGTTAATTTGATGATGTGATGATATTAATCAAAAGTCATTAGTAGGAATACAATATGTCGAAATTCAAGACGATCCCGCGACATAAATGAGTTGTAACATAGTAACTTACAGTTGAGTTAGAACTCTAAGAAAGAACAGACATTCTGACTTAGTTTAATCCAAGATCTTTTCCTTAAAAAAGTAAACCAAAAAGAGTGTCTGTTTTAAGATATAAGATACTTACTGTGGATTCTTTTTATCATTGTATTTGTGCATCTAAGGTAAGGTAATATTTATTTTTTTGTATTTTATTTCTAAAAATTACATCATATTTTGTGTTTTTTCTTCGTTCTGTGTTTAAAAATTCTTAAACAAAAAAAGTGAGATTTATTAGTAAAGTTTTTAATAAATTACATCTAATGTTACCTTTCAAAATGGAGAATCTTAAATTTATTTTATCTTTGGAAACTGCTTTATTCTTTTGGAACAAATTATCCATTGTTATGGTAATTTCAATATATTTTGTGTTTATGTGGACATTTCATGAATGAACCAGTCCTCTCTTCTACGAAATATGAATTTTGTTAAACCTAAAGTTTGAAAACACATACATACAGGTGCTGCTTTTATTTGTAGAGACATCTTTAAGGAATATTATGAACCTCCATGGAATTCCCGCCATTCCAGTTTATCTATGGAGTTTATTTGTGCTCTGGATAACTTGTTCTGGCGGTAAGTGACTAACTAATTCTATATTTAAAAAGACTCCATGAAATAACTAAACATGAACTGCTCTCCAAGATTCGTTGTTGCATACTTTACCCCATTACATCATGTAGTGGTCCTTTAACATTGAACAATCATACACAACTATAAGAAAGGCTGCAACATCCGTCATTAAACATCTATGTCTAATTTGCTGTTGCGTGAGATAACAACTAGTATGTACAGACACATATACATAAAGGGCATGTCGAAACCGTCACCAAATATATGAAAAATGCCACAAGTTCTCTTACCTACGTTGTTAGTCCATATAAGAATAGAATATTCTTTATTGTACACCAATTACAATATATTCGATAATATTACAAATAGATATGCTATCGCTAAAAGCAATCTCTTACAGGCAACCTTTGCATGGACAAATCGACATTAGATGAGAAGAAACAATGGGTAGTCTGGGTGAATTACAGCTGCAGTGGTATAAAAATAAATGTGTAAATTATATATAACTATACATATACACACACATACATATTTTTTATGCGCTTGAGAGTATGGCAGGTCAATGGCAATGCTCTGACCCGGTTATACTATGTGATCTCAAGTTACGACCGGTCTGACAGGATAGGGCATTCAACTACAGCTAAAACCTGTTGAGTGGACCTTATTACGTACTGAACGCAATATTAAGCCATGCTATGTGTAGGACATACATACATAAATGTTTGACCTGTTGATTAGAGTTCATTGGGATGTACTATAGTATATTTGTCTCTTTTTTTATGTTAAGAAAGTAAAAGGTAGAGAGCAATGCTTTAAACAAGAAAAGCCTTCTTAAAAAAAATTGAACCGACTTCAAACAATATTAACAAAGAGCACCTAAAACCAAACAGCAATCACGGTTGATATGCTATCATTTTTTTAAGAGTTCCGTTATCTGTCTCCGAAACTCATCATCAGATCTATATGAAATTTATATGGGACCATTTCGGATAAACCTCTTTCGAACAACAAAAGAATTTTGAAAATCCATCTAAATATGACAGAGTTATGCCCGAAGATACATTAAAAAAAACAGAATTGATAACCTTTTGAAGTCAGTTAAAAAATAGAATTATTGATTATTTTTTAAGAAATAAGAAATTTGTAGGTCAATAGTTTAAGTTTTTTATGGTGTAGGAGGACAAACGAGCGAACAGGTCACCTGATGTTAAGTGACTACCGCAGGCGATGGTCAAGAACCACAAATGGGTTGCCCCGCTTTAGTCCTCCAAAAAATCAGGGGGCTTAAACTTGGCGGGGGCCCTGAAGGCCAGCAACGTCGCGATACTGCGGCGACCGCAGCGAATGCTGGCCATCAGGATCATAAGGGGGTACCGCACGATCTCCTTTGAGGCGGCGAGTCTCCTGGCCGGAACTCCACCGTGGGACCTGGAGGCGAGAGCCCTTGCAGCACTGTATCAGTGGCGCAAGGAGGCGCAGGAGTTGGGTCGATGCCCCGAGATTCGAGAAATCGATGACCGGAAATCCCAACTCCGCCAGGTCATCATAGGGGAGTGGAGGGAACGACTCGGGCAACCGAGCGCCGGGCACGCCGTCATTGCGGCGGTAAGACCCGTTATGGAGGATTGGCTCGAGAGGCGTCACGGGACCCTCTCATACCGATTGACGCAGGTGATCACTGGGAAGGGATGTTTCGGAGATCACCTGTGTCTGATCCGCAAGGAGCCAACGCCTGAGTGCCACCACTGCGATGGCCAGACCGTGGACACGGCTCTCCACACGCTGGCAGAGTGCCCGGCGTGGGTTGCGCAGAGGCGAGACCTCGTGGCGGCCATCGGAGTGGGAGTTCTCTCGCTCGATAGCCTGATTGCGGCTATCGTGCGGAGCGAGAGTGCGTGGAACTCTGCCGTCTCCTTCTGCGAGCAAGTTATGCTCGCGAAGGAGACGGCGGAGCGGGACCGGGAGAGGTTTAGAACTCTCCCGGCCCGCCAGGCCCGGGCACGGGCCAGGCAGCGCAGGCGACTCAGGCGCCGGAGGTCGCAGAACAACCTTCGTCCTCCATAAGCGCAGGCCTGGGGGTGACAGGTGAGGCCATCTGTCACCCTAGCAGAAGCAGGCCGGGGTGGCGGCAAGCGCGTTGCGAAGCGCGCTCGCTTCCAGTGAGCACAGGGAACATGGGGTTCCCACACGGGGCGGGGGTCGTCTACTCGTCTGTAGATGACCCGAGGTATGTCGGGGCACCAGGGCCTTCCTTTCTAGGGTATACCTGGTTCCCCGGCTATTAGTACCCGGCGAAGGCGTGCGGTTTTAGTCGGTTCGAGTCCGACATGCCACCGACAGGTGGTATCCGAGGGGATTTCCGCACGGAAAAAAAAAAAAAAAAAAAAAAAAGAAGGAGGCTTAAACTTTGTTAATCTCACTCACTAATGTGAAAACAGCGGTTTTTTGTGACGCCGTGGTATCACTCCGTTAGAGCCGGCCCATTTATGCCGAGACATGGCTCTTACACGCCTGAAATTGGTGATGACCACTTTGTATGCGAAAGTGACGGAATACCTGATATTGCATTCAAAAGCTTACAGCAAAAACCTGACCTCTTCCTAAAGGATACCTACAGGAGAATTTAGTATTACTTTCTATGACAAAATTGATTGTGCTTCCAGGGGTCCTGCTTCCCAATTTATCAGAGACATGTTTCCAATGCCTATGCCACGTGTCAACTGGATGTGACTTGACCCACGACTGCACCAATGGGTACTGCGGACCTTTCAACATCTCCAGGATTTATTGGTATGACGCTGGGCAGATCGTTTTACCTTATGATGACCCAGCGAGGAACCATGGTAAGGAAATTACGTTCATTTATAATTTACATCTTTGGTTAGCAGAGAGGTAGGTTTCTATCCTAACATAACTCACAAGCTACCTCTACTTTTTTTAAAGTTTCGCAACAGAGTTGTTTCTGGGTACTTTAATAAAGGGATTCTACCCTTTTTTTTCCGTGCGGAAATCCCCTCGGATACCACCTGTCGGTGGCATGTCGGACTCGAACCGACTAAAACAGCACGCCGTCTCGGGTACTAATAGCCGGGGAACCAGGTATTCCCTAGAAAGGAAGTCCCTGGTGCCCCGACATACCTCGGCCATCTACAACAACAGGTAGACGACCCCCCCCCCCCCGTGTGGGAACCCCATGTTCCCTCTGCTCCCTGGAAGCGAGCGCGCTTCGCAACGCGCTTGCCGCCACCCCGGCCTGCTTCTGCTAGGGTGACAGATGGCCTCACCTGTCACCCCCAGGCCTGCGCTTATAGAGGACGGACCTCGTTCTGCGACCTCCGGCACCTGAGTCGCCTGCGGTACCTGGCCCGTTCCCGGGCCTGGCGGGCCGGGAGAGTCCTAAACCTCTCCCGGTCCCGCTCCGCCGTCTCCTCCGCGAGCATAACTTGCTCGCAGAAGGAGACGGCAGAGTTCCACGCACTCTCGCTCCGCACGCACGCACGCAATCAGGCTATCGAGCGAGAGAACTCCCACTCCGATGGCCGCCACGAGGTCTCGCCTCTGCTCAACCCACGCCGGGCACTCTGAAAGCGTGTGGAGAGCCGTGTCCACGGTCTGGCCATCGCAGTGGTGGCACTCAGACGAAAGGGATTCTACCCTAATATCATGCCAAGTGTCAACAGTCTGACAATTTTGAAAGTTTCTTTGTTCTATAGACATATTATGTGTCCTATTTTATTTCTTGAATAGTTTTACCTGATTCTATGTAAAAACGTAGTCATATTGTACTTCTGATCAGTAGTTTTACCGAACAAAAATGGATTTAAAACTAAGGAAAAGGTTCTCTATCCACCTCCTTGCTTAACTTCTGACTATATTTACCAATCTTTCAGACACGTCACCACGAAACGTAAGCTTTATGAATTCTTGTTTAAATATTTTGTTACTTACAAGTGAAGTTAATAAAAGCCGGTTCATATTAATTAGGGATGGTGTTACTCACGTCCGTAGGAACTACCACCTTTCCTAGGCCCACCCTACACGTGTCCCCCGGGTGGTGCAAAACGAGTAACAACGCCGAGTCTCAGGCGGCGGTAAAGTATCCTGAACAATATGAGCTAACAACTCATACTAAGCTGATAGAAGGAAATGTCTATCAGCGGTCGTAAATTCGTTGTCAAGTCTAGCGAAAACGATGACCTTGGCTTAATTGCCTGGGTCGTGAGGAAATAACCTCTTCAAAAATTCCTAATCCTACGGTGTGACCGTGCCCAAAGGATGAATGGCTGGTGGGAGACCAGTCTCAAGCGCAAACCTCGGAGTATCGGGCAATCTCCGTTGTACAAGAGCCTTCTTATGGGAATGGGCGTTACCCTGTAAGTGACCTAAGAAATTCGACCCTACTCGTGGGAACAACATGGCAAATGTAAATACCAATAATACAAATTCACCTAAAATCTTAACCCAACAAATATTTCACAAAGGCCTCTTCACAAATAAACCAAGATCAAACTCTTGTGGAAAGTCACCTGTAAAAGACACTAGTGAGCCAATTGATTTGGACAAGGAAGAAACACAATGCAATACCGCTGCAGAGCCCTGGGAAGATGTTGTAGGACGAAAAAGACAGCACAGCCCAGAACAATGTTCGATAAGCCAAAAACAAGCAAAACTCAATAGCTACTGGTTGAGTGCACCTGTTTCAACTTCCAACAGATTTACCGGCCTTGAAGATGAAAGCTCTGAGAGAGTAGAGAAGCCTCACAAGCCTCCGCCAATATTTGTTGATAAAGTCAGTAACATCCAGCCATTAATTAATATGCTTGAAGTTACAATACCAGGAAATTTTGAAATTAAAGTACTACAGTCTGAGCGAGTTAAAATTCAGGCAAACACTGCTGAGTCTTACAAAATTATGTACAAAGAGTTGAAAAAAAGTAACACTGAATTCTTCACCTACCAACCCAAAGACGAACGTAGCTTTAGAGTAGTCCTAAAACATATGCATCCTTCTACTGATTTAGAAGAAATCAAATTGGCACTTGAAGATCTCCAGCATGAAGTAAGGAACATCTGGAACATCAAACATGGACAAACGAAAAAGCCGCTCAGCATGTTCTTTATCGACCTAAAACCGCAGGCTAATAATAAAGATATTTATAAATTGAATAGCATACTCAATTGTAGAGTTACCTTTGAGGCTCCTAGACCCAAACGGGACATCCCACAATGCTCTAATTGTCAGCAATATGGACACACCAAAAAATTTTGCCATAGACAACCAAAGTGCGTTAAATGTGCAGGTTCTCATCGCACATCTGACTGCTCCAGGAAGGAACGTTCCGATAAGGTGAAGTGCATCCTCTGTGACGGTAACCATCCTGCGAATTACAAAGGTTGTAAAGTCTACAAGGAGCTACAGAAAATGAAATACCAAGCCCCACCTCCAAAGAAACCCTTAAAGTCACCCCTAAATTCAAAAATAACTCGGCCAACTGGAGCAACTAACCCAACATATAGCGAAATAGTACAAAACAACTTACCAACAAAAGACAACACAGACGCACAAACAACGGAATCTTTCTTGCTAAAGTTAAATGAAACAATGCAAGCTGTTATGAATCAGATGTTAATAGTCACAAAACTGCTAACAGAACTCACGTCAAAATTGACTTCACATTCCAACCACTAAATATATGTGTGTGGAATGCAAATGGCCTGTCAAATCACTCTGAGGAGTTAAAATTATTCCTAAAAATAAAAAAAATAGACGTAATGCTAATTTCAGAAACCCACTTTACAAGCAAAAGCTATTTCAAAATACAAGGGTACTCCCTGTACCACACTATGCACCCAGATGGCAAAGCCCACGGTGGCGCTGCAATCCTGATAAAGGCAAATATCAAGCATCATGAGTCCTCACCCTACTCAAAGGAATATCTGCAAGCATCATCCATCGTGGTGTCCGATTCAATTAACAAATTAACTTTGTCAGCCGTCTACTGTCCACCAAGACACACCATCAAAAATACTGAGTTTGCTGATTATTTCCGTTCTTTGGGGCCGAGATTTGTCGCTGGAGGTGATTACAACGCCAAACACACGTACTGGGGTTCAAGGCTGATACTACCTCGCGGTCGTGAACTACTTAGATGCGTCCAAATGAACAACATGTATGTTCTCTCATCAGGCCATCCCACATACTGGCCAACAGATCCCAAGAAAATACCAGATGTCATCGACTTTTGCGTAATTAAGGGAATAACCAAAAATTATCTGTCCTGCCAAAGCTGTTTGGACTTATCATCGGATCACTCACCAATTATTATTAACCTTTCTACCACCTTAACAGCGGAGGAACCTAGGTGCAATCTACACAATCGTAGAACAAACTGGTCACTATTCCGGCACTTAATTGATACAGCATTGGTTGAACCAGCTAGACTAAAGACTGAGGATGACATAATTTATGCAGTCGAACATTTTACAAGGTCTCTGCAAGATGCTGCTTGGGATTCCACACCATTAGCAGGAAAAACTGGGGAAGATTTGCCCATAGCCCATCACCTTCTAGAGTTGGTAGCACAAAAGAGAAGACTGAGGAAACGGTGGCAACTATCACAATGCCCACAAGCGAAAAAGCTGTTTAATCATGCCATCAGGAAACTCAAGAATGCAACCACTCGAGATCGTAATTTGGCCTTTCAATTGCATCTGAGCGGTCTGGATGCCTCCGCATCATCAGACTACTCGCTGTGGAAAGCTACAAAGAAAATTAGAAGACCTACTAATGTCTCCCCAGCCTTGCGTGCACAGGACGGGAGATGGGCTCGTACTGATGCCGAAAAAGCAAACACTTTCTCTGTCCACCTACAATCCGTTTTCAAACCCCATCCAAATGAAGGTACCCCCGAACAAGAAAGAGAGGTATCTAACTACTTGGCGGAGGAAGACTCAAGCGCAGAAATAGTTGACGAGATGCCCAATTTCAATAAAAATGAAGTGGTACGGGCTATAAAAAAGATTGACTCAAAGAAGGCCCCCGGTTTCGACCTCATCACTAGTAGGCTGCTGGCCGAACTGCCAGACTCTGGAATGACTATGCTCACGTCCATTTATAACAGCATGACAAGACTCAGATTTTTCCCTCCACAGTGGAAAGTAGCCAAAATAATAATGATCCCTAAGCCCGACAAGGCTCTGGAAGATCCTAAATCCTACAGACCTATCAGTCTACTACCGATTCCTTCGAAGGTTTACGAGTCGCTCCTATTAACTCGCATGCTACCAATAATTAAAACAAAACATCTGGTTCCAGACCATCAGTTTGGATTTCGTCATAAGCATGCTACTATCGAACAAATTCACAGACTTACAGTCGAAATACATAAAGCGTATGAAGCCAAAAAATACTGTACAGCCGTCTTTTTGGACATCTCGCAGGCCTTCGATCGGGTCTGGCACCAGGGTTTGCTTTACAAAATTAAAAAATCCATGCCCCATCACCTGTTTTGTATGATCAAAGCTTTCATAGCTAATCGTCACTTTATGGTTCAGTGTGGAAACGAGATGACAAGCCTTTGCCCCATCCTAGCGGGGGTTCCACAGGGAAGTGTAATTGGTCCGATCCTCTACCTGCTCTACACCTCGGATTTACCCACCAGTGAAAAAATTACAACAGGTACTTTTGCTGACGACACAGCCATTTTGGCCACCCATAGTCAGCCAGAAATCGCAGCCAAACTACTACAAGAAGGTTTGAATAACATAGCCGACTGGCTAAAAAGGTGGCGGATCAAAGCTAATGAAAGCAAGTCGGTCAACGTTACCTTCACCCTGCGAAGAGAGCACTGTCCACCAGTGACGTTGAATGACGTAGAAGTCCCTCGGGCAGATCACGTGCGGTATCTTGGACTGTACCTCGATAAACGTCTTACCTGGAAGAAACACATTCTTACCAAGAGAAAACAGCTTGGTCTACAGCTGAGAAAACTTTACTGGCTCATTGGTTGTAAATCCCAGTTATCAAGGGAAAACAAACTTCTAGTATATAAAGCCATCCTTAAACCTGTGTGGACGTACGGCATACAACTATGGGGAACAGCCTCACACTCCAACATAGAGATCTTACAACGTTTTCAAAACAAAATGCTGCGCATAGTTACTGGTGCCCCATGGTTTGTGACTAACGAACAACTGCACAACGATCTGAAGATGCCTACAATCAGGGAGGAAATAACTAGACACACTAAGGCATACAGGGACAGAATATCAAACCACCCAAATATATTGGCCCAACCGCTTATGGACAACAGTTTGAAAATCCGTAGGCTAAAGCTCAGAATCCCCCAGGATGTGCTGTGATAAGAGCACATTATAACTAGAACAGGGTACGGCATTGGCCGCATCCCTGCACACGACTTCCAATTTATGCCCAATCTATCGCTTAATGTCCTGATAAAGAGACAGATTGCTGTATTAAAGATGAACAAAAAAAAAAAAAAAAAAAAAAAAAATATTAATTAGTATTTTGCAATAAATGAATGAAATTAGCGAAATGCTCGCCTAATACCGAGCCATTTACTGATGTCCTTAACTTTTATAAATGCAGTCATCAGTGATGTATTCTTATTCCTCTCGTAACTCTGGTCCAAGTGCAAACTACCTGAAGAGCCTTACTTGAAAACATCCCTGAACTAAGCTACAAATAAAATACCCGACTGATTTAGCTGCATAGTACCAAAAATCCATACTTTTAAGTATAATATATTATAAACTAGCTGAGACCCGCGGTGTTACCCGCGTTTGTTGTTATAACCGCGGGCAACGCCGCGGGGCGAAGCTAGTCTAAAAAAGTAGCCTAAGTTACTCCCTAAGTCATCAGCTTTCTGCCAGTGAAAGTCCCGTCGAAATCGGTACAGCCGTTCCAGAGATTACCCGGAACAAACAGACAGACAGACAAACAGACAAAAATTGTAAAAAATGATATTTTGGCATATGTACCGTGTAAACATACATATGCATTTAGTAAAAAGCGGTTATTATAATATTTCAAACAGACACTCCAATTTTATTTATTTGTATGTATAGATGTGAAAGTGAGTTTGTTTATTTGTTACGCTTTCATGCAAACTACTAAACCGATTTTCTTTTGATTTTCACCAATGGAAAGCTACATTATCAGCGAGTAACAAATAAAAATTTTAACGGCGATAACCGACAAACACGCGGGCGGAGCCGCGGGCAAAAGCTAGTATGCCAAACACCCGCCACTCGGATGATTCATTCTTTTTTTTCATTTGTTTATCCAATTTAGAAATAATTTAAATATTTTAGCTTATTGAGAAAGTTGTAAGGTTAAAACAACTATCGTTAATCGTATTTCTGTTTTTTTCAGCGTGGAAAGACTGCGCGAGAAACTATGAGTGTGCCAAACAGATAATTGCGAACTACTTACTAAAGTATGGAAGGGTACGAGAGCTGTTTTTTTAAATTTACTTCTTATTTAGGTAAACGGAAATAGAGATGGTCTATTTAAAAAAGTGTGAAAGCATATTTTCGTGACATGAAAGAAACATTAAATTATTGCAACTGTCAATGAAATAAAACATTCGATATTTAATTACTTATGGTCGAATATCAAACGTCTCTAGTATGTGGAAAAGCACGTGGGTTATTATTACCAGTATTCTTGATAACCTCTAAGCTGAACTACGGGCTGTATTAGGATCGGGTTCACTTCGATAATATAACGGGTAGGGTTGGACCCAACAACCACTAAATCACAAGCCTGACGCTATTGTCATAGAATCATTATATTATTCATCAAATCAATATATTTCCAGGATTGTAACGAAGACGGAACAACCGACTGTTACGACTACATGATGGTAAATGGCAATGGTGGACCTTCCTGCTCGACTTCATTAAACGTATCGGAGAATGGCAGGGCATGGCTGCAACGATACGACACGTGCATATTCTGAGCCTGTCACAACTGGCGCCATCTATTGATGCTTGTTGTAATCTTAGCACAATTTAATATTACTTATCAGTATTTCGACTTCTTTTAGAATGCCTGTTGCTTTGTATCTGATCTGTATGTGTCTCGTATTGTAAAAATCATTAGTTTAATTTTGGTATTAATTATAAATATATCAGTACTTTTTGTTTATTCTCTCTAATTTCTTTTAAGCGGTAACACAACACATTGGCGTCCGCCTGTATTGCATTCGTGGGAGAGCTTAATTCAGCATATATGGGTAGGCTCCACCGGAGTGATACCACCTCACAGAATACCGGTGTTAAACTGTTTCTTTGCTCATTACCGAGTAAGTGAGGTCACTGGAGACCTTACCTCCATAACTCTGGGAGGGACCTCAAAGACGGCAAACGCACTAATATCTCTTGAGTGACAGGTGTCCAGCGGCGATAGTCAGTTATCATCAGGTGACCCGCCTACTCTTTTGCCTCTGTTAAATAAAAAGTCAGCCTTCCTTGGGAATTTAAAAAGAAAATGAAGAATAAGGGTTCTTAAAAACAAATGAGGTCAATTAGGTTTTAAGAGATCAACCAAACCAAGTCTTAAATTGAGAACCAATAGTGAGACTGCAGTAGCTTAAAAAGGTGAATGTCACGTGGCGGACATGCGGGTGTATATCCGCGCTGTGGGCATACACCCGCATGTCCGCAATACATTCTGTGACATACACCTGTGGTATACGTAATTTGGTGATATTTTACCACACAGGTAGAGAGAAGACTAGTTGTTTTCTACGAGGGGGGAAAAGATGACGAAGATGATGAAGATACGGGCACTATATCCTACTTGAGTTTAATAAACAAAAGTCAATGTCAAAAATATTTAAAATGTAAGCTATGTATGCGAGTTTATTTCCACAAAATGGTGAAGGACATTATTTGAAGGAAAAAAACTAACTCTAACTAATCTTCATGTTTTGACTTTTCAGAGACGTCAAACAGTAATAAGAGCGATTTTACTTTGGCAAGGTCGGTGCAACAAGCGTAGATTTTTTTTACGGTATAGCGGGCAAAAGAGCAGCCAAAGCACTTGATAATATGTGACTTCCACCGCTCCTGTAACTCATAAGTCACGAGTGCGTTGCGTGCCATTACACTCACTCCGTAAAATCATCAACAGCCTTTAACCGTCCGTGTGGTGACGGATTAAGAATACAGAGTGTCACCACAACTATTCATCCCGTGGGTGTCGTAAGAACCGACTAAGGGAAAAAAACTACTCAGAACACCAGCACTACAGAGAGAAGGAAAACTTTACACAAACCCTATACCAACCCGTCTGGCTAGCGTGGTATAGTAGGCCAAAACCTCCTTTCTAAGGAGAGGCTTATGTCCAGCAGTGGACTATTAAAGGCTGTTGATGTGATGATGTGCATTCCGTAAAATGCAAAGAATGAATTACTCAAAACTGGTTTCCTGTGCGCCCATGGTATCGTTCCGGTAGAGCCGGCCCAAATGTGTCTAAGTATGGCTTTCCTACGGTTATCACCACATAAACTTTCATGAAATCACATATCCTTAACTCATTTTAATATTAAGTTTAAGTGGAAGATAACTTTGTCTGAATTCACACGTTTTCTTGTTAGTGTAAACTAAAGTAAAACAGTTACCTAAGCTGGGTTAAGGTTCCTGTGCTTGAAATAAGTTAACGTTATATTTTTAATAATGAAGTCTGGATGGATATAATGGATGGAAAATCTGGAAAATGCACCCTTCGTTATTCGGTGCACCCATCGGTTTACTGGTTACGTCGTAAAAGTGTAAAAAACTAATAAAATGTGCATTTGCATAATGTTGTCAGATAGGAAGTACATAAACAAGTTACACCAAACAAGTTTATTAAAAAAAGAGGTATAGTAATTACAACACGCTTTTGATTCTTGTTTATGATATAGAGGCAGCTTACGGGTCACCTGATGGTAAGCGATTACCGCCGCCCATGGACACCTGCAATTCAAGTGACATGGGGAGCAAGTGGGTTAAGTCAAGCTGCCCCATTTGTGCCTTTACCTTATTATAAATGTTAAGAATTTTTATTTAGATATGACTAGGACATGACATAAAGAAAAAAAAACAAAATTTGGCACTTAAATGCACTTAAACTAAATTCAGAAATTAGGTCTGTGAGCTAGCCATTTAAAATTGATTATGCTTATGTGATGATCTTGTAGACGTAAGTCATTCTGATGTTAAAAAAAATAAAAATGTCTAACATTAATAATAATTTATCACATCTCACGCACAGCCACCTGACCCCAAATTAGAGCACTTGCAGACTTACGATAAATATACTTATACACTTTCAAATACATAATATAGATAAATTACACAAAGACAGAACAAATGATTGCGTTCCTATAAAATTACTTGTATTTCTAAACGTTCCTTATAAAACATTGTTAGTGAACCAATTAGATGACAATTAAATATAACAACCTTTTACGATAAAAGAGCTTAGTAGCGAGACTTGCAATTTTTTCATTTAATGTTGAATTTATTTATTATGCTTCTATACTAAAGTGACCTATAACAAGATTGTCCGGTTAACAAAAAACCACATTCCTCATTTTGTTACACATGACTATAAGAAAAACTATTATAAAGATACAAACTAGTTCAATCGTGGGATACTGCGACAGCTTCTCAGTTGTGGTACAACACTTATAAGCGAAGGACACTTTTTAGTAAATAAATAGACACTTGCTTTTATTGTTACAAAAGATACTTGAAGTTATATTTTTTTAAAGTGAGGAAATACTTTACAAGGAAGTTGCGATACCAAAGTTGGACAACATTTTTTGAAGGTTTTTATTTTTAACATTATTAACACTGTTTAAAATATACACAAATATGTTACGAAGCTTTTAAATTAAGAAGGTTAAAAATGATCAATCTTTTTTTATATTATGCAATGGATAATTTTAAAAAGTGGTATTAAACAAAGGAATTATATAAATGTTGTGTACTTCTATATTTTAGTGTTACAAATACAAATATTACCAGTATTCAAAAGGACCGATACGAAAAACAAAATTCTCTTGTGTGTGTCTCTCTCTCTCTTTGTGACTCCTGAATTGCAGACGTTCATGGGCGGCGATGGTCGCTTTCCATCAGCTGACCCGTCTGCTCGTCTGCCGCTAACATAAAAAAAACAACTATGGAGCACGGAATCATATTTCAAATATGGTTCACTCAATGTTTGTAATATATGTATTAAGAAATTTATAAAAGTTGATTATCAGCAGTCTGGTCGTCGTAATACAGGCTCTGTCTAGTTCAGGATCAGACGGCCATGTGTGAGATGCGCAAAATTGTTATTTTTGCTATAAATAGACAATCTAATATGGCCGTTATATAATTACGTTTTAACAACATATCAAACTTTATTTTGATTTTTTTTATCTTGAACATGTATCCGTGTGGTGACGGGTTAAGTATATGGAGTGTCACCACCTATGTCCAGCCTTACCTTACAGTACCTTTTAAATACCTTTTCATGCATTTCGAGAATGGCCGACTAGATTCCGCTCCGACGAACGTCGTTTTTCGTTTTTTACTTATTTCAAATTTAAAAGTAGTCCGCACCACCGCACGACCGGTGAGATGGTTTATGTCAGACTCGAATTGACAAAAAACCGCACTCCGTCTCGGGTACCAGGAGCCACTGAACCTAGAGACGAAATCCCGGGTATCTACGGCCATCTACGACTTCCAGATAGCCTAATTGTGTGTTGGTACCACGGTGCACCTTTCTGCCTTTGAATGGCGTTAACAGCTCAAACACATAACCCTCCCTTTTGACTTCCCTGTAGTCTGGTAAAAAGAACAAACAAACATGACACAAATAAACTTAGCCATCATTATAAATATTTTATATTACGTTATATACGTAATAATATTATTTTCCGTCTGTTAGCTCTATGTATATTTCCTGTTATTTGATTTATCTATTACACTAAAGGGTAACCCCTAGTAACATATTTATTTACCTGTGTCTCATCGAATTCATCAATTTATAGTAATGCTAATTGGCTAGATAATGTAGTACAGAAAGAATTCATTGCTATCATCGCGTCGGGTAAGATAGCACATGATGTGATATCCACAAGAGTAGTATTTCATATTATAAAATGACTGCGCGAATGCCGTAGTGGTTTAAGCGGTCACCTCGCCACTTTCAACTGCGCTGAGCAGAATTGGACAATTGGGACTACACTCTGTGTAATCCACAAATTATTTTTCTGAGTCTGAGTCTTCTTTGTATCCGTTTTATGTATGTTTGTAAAGTCCTCCACGACACATGATATATTCCAAGTGCGGTAGTTGTCTGTTTAAAGAAAAAAAAATTAAGATGTTTGGTTGTGGACGCAGGTCGCTGCCATCGGTTCTTTTGGAAGTCAGGCACTCTTTTGGAATGGCATTTGTTGATAATAATGACGTTTTCTCTGTATAAAGCATAAAGGAAATAAGAAATAACATTGAAAACTCCACAACTCTCACACACGGCTGTCTGCTAAGTCAGACTGTTGAAACAATCTTATAAATTTCAAAAAATATACATATTTTAGATAAATTTCAGCCAGACACAGAACAAATCCTAAATATACAGCTTAACTAACTGATCTTGATCAATAAACAGTACAGCCCTTTTTTGCCATCAAAAAAACGAAATATTCTAATCTCGTCCTACGTAAAATTAAATATAACCAATGCTGGCATGTTCTTTCTCCAGATTCTCCAGAGAACTTCTTAGAAAAGGCAAAAAATATGAACGTGAAAACTACTATAGCGATACCCGTGTGTTTGTTTGCTTTTTTTATCTTTTGGATAACTGGATCTGCCGGTAAGTTACTAGTTGTAGGAGCATAACAATTTCATGCACAGTTTTCGTAAGAGGCCTTGGAGTTTTAGTGTTATAAAAACTAAGACACAAATTTTTTATAACAAATATGTACCTGTTTAATCGGTATCATAAATGTGCATTTTTGTCTGTCTCACCTGAGACTACTGCCGCTTTCATAGGCGCAAGTAATTTAAAAAGACAAACGAGAGTTGCCGTCCTTTAAATGCCAAACCTATCCACCTCTCCTAGTTAGGGGAGGTTGAGCCTGAGCAAGGTCCTGGTATCTTTTTCTGACAACATATTTGTGAAATTTCATCACAATCGGTTGAGTAGAGACTTAAAGCGTTGTAGCTATGTAGCTGGTTCTCAGGTCTAAAATTAGTTTTCTCATTTTCTAGGTGTTTATATACCGAACCTAACAGAAGCATGCTACAAATGCTTATGTTACGTATCCACTGGATGTGACTTCTCTCACGACTGCACAGGCGGGTACTGTGGGCCCTTCAATATCTCCAGGATCTATTGGAAAGAGGCAGGCCAAATCGTTCTGCCAGATGATGATCCTGACAGAAATCATGGTGAGTGCTTTTGACTCTGTCTAATTCTGTCCGATTCACAGAAGATCATAGAATTTTTACAGTCAAAGATCAAATCATTTTCTTGGCCTTTTCTCAAATTTATTTGGGGGTCGGCGCAATGACATTTCTTCTTCCATTCTCTTCTATCACTCACTCACTGTTTACTTCCTTTCTAGCTATATCTACTTTTACACAGTCCATCCATCTTTTCATTGGTCGTCCTCTACTCTTATATCCGTCAACATCCATTCATAGAACTCTCTTCCCTATATTTTTACGCAACACGTCAGATAAAATGTAAAACATCTAATTCTGAGTAATATAATTATTAATCTAAGGTCATGTCTTTATTTCCAGCATGGGAAGATTGTGCAAAAAGTTTTCATTGCGCTAAACGAATTATTGAAAGATACTTGGAGATATTTGGACGGGTAAGCAATAGGTTATAGCGTTAATCTCATCACTATCACATCACATCAGCAGCCTATAATAGTCCACTGCTGGACATAGTCCTCTCCGTAGAAAGGAGGTTTTGGCCTACTATACCAAGCTGGCCCGACGGGTTAGTATAGGGTTTGTGTCAAGTTTCCCTTCTCTTTGCAGCGCTGTTGTCCTGCGTAGTTTGCTCCCTTAGTCGGCTCTTACGACACCCACAGAATGAATAGGGGTGGTGACATTCCGTATTCTTAATCCGCCACCACACGGATTATTAGTCCCACCACTTATTAGTCTCACAACTTTTAAATATTACCATCGCGAATCTGGAATACTCGTAGCACATAGGCTACTTTTAATCTTAAAAAAATCTATAGATAAACTTTTATTAACGCCTGCGAAGCCGCGTGTTAGTCTGAGATAAAAGTACAGCCCTAAGCTTTACGAAAATACTTTTTCTCCTACTAGCAAATAGCGTATACTTTTGTATGTGCTATTTGCTATATGCTATTCGAAACTATAATATATCTTTGTGACAACTTTTATTCCGATACTTTTGCTCCTTCTGGCGTGATTGAGTGACAGTCATCTGTTTAACCATACGCATACGCATAACTTTCGCGTTTATAATAACAATAACGACATTACCAAATTATATTACATTACCAAGTTATACAGGCTGCTCGAAAAAATAATTTCGCTTAGCTGTTCATCTTGTATGTACCTATATACTAGGATTGAGAACTTTCTTTGAAACTTTTTCTAACATTTTATTACTTATTTAGATATCTGTTCCATTTATACTTTGCTTTCTATATTTCAATCTGTGAATAAGTTACACTCAAAATATATACGCGATGGGGTAAGCAGAGGTGCGTACGTGCACCTGGAAAACCAAAAGGCAAATTATAAATATAAAAGTTCGGTCAAAATTCAGATCCGATCTACTCTCTACCTCACATATGTCATAAAAGATATTTTCGTAGTAAAACATTACTTATTGTAAATCGTCTCCACTAACATAGGATAAGTTTTAAGTTGTATTTATGTTTTATGATAAGTTGTGTGTTTTTTTTTTTATTACTAACAAGCAATGAGTCATGGTTACTCTAATAAAAATGATTATTATACTTCCAATTTATTTAACATCCAATGTTAACTGTTATGTGATTATATAGTTAATTATGAGATTATTAATATACTTTTACGAGATCCGAGATCGAAAGTTGATCGGAACTGAATTTCAGAATTGATTTTTAGGTTGTATTTTTTAAATATCATTCCAGGACTGCAATGGAGACGGCCTCACAAATTGCTTTGACTACATGATGATAAATGGTAACGGTGGCTACGGCTGTACAGCGCCTTTGAATCGTTCAGCGAATGGCCAACGATGGTTGAAGCGATACGAAGAGTGTAGAATATAACCTGGATCTGTCAGCGATCTGTGCTCACGAGTTCAATTTGTTGTTTTATTATTATTATTCTTATGCTTGTCATAATAAGATGACAAATACTGTAACTATGCGACACTCAAGTTTTACAAGGTAGTTGAGAAGAAATGTCTTCAAAATGTCTTCAATTTGAATGCAAAAAAACGCAAGAAATAAAACGCAAAAATAAAGTACATGTAATCATGAGGAAGTGATGTTTTGTGCCCATCAATGTCCTTTGTTTATCTTTTGTGGAACATTAAAAAACCCCTTATTCTAACGGAGCCTTCTGGTCATCTGGATATGGGTTCTTAACATAACGAACTGTTGATAAGATGAGCTGATTCACGTGCGTGATGGCTTAGATTTGTAATTAGAGAAGAAAGCGAGGATAAATAATATGACACACAGTTTATTATATTCATTATGTAGCCCATTGATGCCTATTGTTTAGAGAAACGTCAAATTCAATGTTCTGTGGTAGAAACTATAATCGTCATCATCATTATCAACAGCCTTTAGTAGTCCACTGCTGGGCATAGCTCCTTGGAAAGGAGGTTTTGGCCTACTATACAACGCTGGCTAGACGTGTTGATGTAGGGTTTGTGTCAAGTTTTCATTCTCTTTGCAGTGCTGTAAGTAGTAGTTTGCTGCCTTAGTCGGCTGTGACGACACCCACGTGATGAATAGTGACACTTCGTATTCTTAATCCGTCACGAACATAAACTTTAAAAACAAATTAGAAAACAATAAAAACTATAAAAAAATATTTATCATTTACATTATGGTCATACACCAATATTAGTTGTACTACTACTTTCCTTCTGAAATTACAAGACGACTAACAGTATAAACTTATTCAGCTCATGAATATAACAAACTATTTCAATTTTGTCTACTATTTAACGTGTTTCGTATTTCAGAGTACATTGCTGGCTACCCAACGTGGTAATGAACAACCAATTTAGTGATCTACCCTCGGTATAAGATGTGATGTTTTAAATACATTGATTGTAATGTTGGTCAAATAATTCTAGATCGATTTTTATGCTTCTTAGGCTTTCTGGGGAATTCCACAGTAACAGACGAATGTGACGGTATTAATTTGAAGATCAAACTCAAAATATCTTTATTTCATAAAAAAAATAAAATTGATTGCATTCTTCTTTTATGTAGACTCTAAAGTCGTAGATCAACACACACATAATAGCAATATCGTTGGATATAAGAGTTAGATTTTTTCATGCCATATGCAATAGGGAGCAAACTACCGCCACCAAGGGACACTGAAACTCAAGATTCAGAAGTGCGGTGCAATCGAGGGAGCTGAGTTTTGTGCTGTGGTAACTTCACTCACTCTGAGAAAAGCAATAAAAAGTTGCTTAACATTGGTTTTCACTCCCACGGTAAAAAGATTAGAGACAGAAAGATTAAGTTGGAAAGTTGAGAACGTACGAGAGACAAGATTATTGCCATGATTCCATATCGGGTGAACCATGTACTTGTGAGTTAATTATAGCAGGCAAGATCACCTTGTCTGGTTTCAATATCCTTCCTTACTGTTAGTGGAAAAATAAACCCTGCTTCTTTCTTTATAAAGATGAAATTTAATTTAATGTTTAAATAAATAAGTTTTAAATATAAAAAAAATACGCGATAACAAGTAGCTTATATTTCGTTCTAGATTGTAATCTGTTTCTGTGCTAAAATTTCATCAACTTCCATTCAGTCATGCTGGTGTGATTGAATTACAAAAAGCTTTATTTATTTATTTTTTTCGTGTGGAAACCCTCATGGGTGAAATGCTGGGGCTATCGATGAGGCCGTATGTCAGACTCATACCGACTAAAATCACACGGTGTGCCATACTACGCTTGAAATAAGTGGATCAAACCTCCTTTCTCAGGAGAGGCCTATGTCCAGCAGTCACTATCAAAGGCTGTTGATGTGTGGTTTCGCCTCTGCCGGCACCTGGACGGTGCCGACGGATCAAAATAGATAAAATTAATTCTAATTTTATCAATTTTGAATGGTATTCAAACAGTACTTATTATAAATTGAACTTAAAATTGTGATTTCTCATACGTAAGCTAATCTTAAAGTCGTGTTACAACTTATTTTAATTACATTCCAAATACAAATAACCAAAAAAATGAAAATTAAAAATAATTTAAAAAAATATATTAGTATTAAAATATTAATACATAAAGACCGTCTCGACAACTTAGAAATGAGTATTTACCAACAAAACTCAACAGGCAATGAACATCAAACACAATTGTATTCTCACATTGCGTTCGTTCTCAGTACAAGCAAGGTAGACAGGTGACGGAATGAATATTCAGCCACAACGTGGTGAAATTTTAATGAGACTGTGCTATCGCATAGTCTCTACATAAAGCTCCAGGACTTTTTACAAGATGCTATATTTTTCGTCTTAAATAGACGAAAACATGGCCTGTGATCCTTTTTCAAGATATATTACTGTCTAGAATACTTTCGAGACTTATTTGGGATGAATTCGACTCGAGAATATGGCGTAATTTAATGGACAATGTTAAAAAGGTTTCTTAGAGGTTAGAGGGTTGGGTTAATTGGAGTTTTTCTCTGGAGTAGAACCTCCGCGCGGCCTGTACTCGTGCCCGGAGGTCCTACACCCGCAGTTGACTAGTTCTTTAGGCGCGTTGGATTTTTGCAGTTGTTGCATTTTTGAACACCGACGCCTATGTTGAAATTAAACTTTATAGGGCGCATTGGGCATTTTTTGAGATGGGAAAAACAATTGAAATCGCGACACTGTTTTCGTTACCGACACCTCTGTATATAAGTTTTCACTTCTGTCGGAACTCCACTGTTTTTTTTTGTTTTTTAATTGGAACAGCGATTTGAATGTGAAAATTAACTAAAAAGACGTTCATTACTGAATTACGAGTAAATTAATTTCAATTTATTGATTATTCGTTCAAAATTTATCACATTTATGTATGCAGATATATGTATGAACTTTAAAACAAAGAGGGGCGCAGTATATTTATAAAAATACCTACTACTTTTAATTATTTTAAAATTCAATGGAACGAAAAATAGATGTTTTGACATTACTAAGAAGAAAATTAGCAAATTTCGTTAGTGGATACATTCTCATGAGCCTTACAAGAAGCGTGTCCATGTTGAAAACTATAATGTTATATTTCATATATGTTTCATAAATTAATTGTATTTTTTTTTAAACAAGCATCTCAAAGTACTTTTGAAATGTTTGTTTAAAAAAAAACGAGTGTTCCAAGCAACAAATAGAAAAAAACTTATAACTGACATTCCGACATGAATATTAAAACTTTTCTAGAAACTATAATTTAATACCTAATACGCTATTAAAGTCAGTGGTAAAGGAAACAAAAGCATTATTATGATTTGCAAATTTAAATCCCTAGGTAGAGCGTTATTGAACGTAAGATAATCATAAGATGTGTTCATTAACCTTCTTACTGGCTAGTTCACAATATAACAGTCACAGTTGAAAATAGATCAAAACACAGACAAAAGACATCTTTAAAGTGTGTATCGTGTCAAAATTTGAGCCCAATCGGTGCAGAACTTTTTGAATTTTTGAAACTTACAAACCAACTTAACATTTTTATATATATAGATAAAGGAGATAAGTATGTATAATATTCTAGAAATATCTAACTATGTTTATCTAGATAAATCTATGCCTGGTTAACGGCAAAAAAAGTTTGTCTCCTATTATACATATATGTGGGAGTGGCACTAAAATAACGGATGCCATGTGGACAATTAAATTGCCTTTGTTTACCCCTTCGCTGATAAAAATATGACTGTATTGTATAAATAATTATCCCATTACGCCATCGAACTCACAACAGTTTATGCAGTGGCATTTAAGAATGGAGGAATCACTAAACGCTTAAATCTGTCTGCAGTTACATACATTTCATGCGCATACTTACATTGCCATTTACAAGTTAATAAAATGTGGTCACAACTACAACAAGATTATATGTTACCTCTATAAGTCATAGCTAAGAAAACTTCGACACACCCATTAGACAACTACCACATTACAAACAATATAAACTACACTCTGGACAACATTTTCTCGGAAGATATACAATCTCCTTGGTGTAGTTAAACCAAAGACAAAACAAGTGGGCACATAAATTGTAGAGTGGAGCCGTGGCAATTTTGGCGCCAAAATCAGCCATAAAACATACTCACTTCGGTGTTTCTTGGTTAGCTACGCACTATTCCTGTTTAATGTCCTATTAAATTGATATATTGCCTCAATATGTTATCTTGAACTTAATCTTGAACTTGAATTGCTAAATGTAGGAGTTAATACACGAGGCTCTCTTTGAAACCGTAAGCCACCGAAGTTATTACAAATTATAATGTTGGTAGATAATTCTCTAACTTGCATGTGACTGCATATAATATAATAATTTATCGATCGTTCGATTGTTTCTTCCTTCGTTTTCATAAGAACCATAACACGAATTTTGCGATATAGATGTTTTAGAGTGGCCACAACGGGTTATGAGCCATTTTTTCATTCAATGAGTGTTTTCGCGTTTTGAGCGTAAAAATATAGTATCCATACAGGCAGGGTCTCGAAATGGCTAAGGCCGCCACTGGCCATGGTAATTAGACTACTGATAAACATACTTATATCGATATATTAATACATTACTGAACTAATGCCACAAAAACATGAACCTAGCAATGGCGAGGCCCTTGTGTTTGTGGCATTACTTTTAATGATTACACTTGGAACCAAAAATTCACCGCAAAACATACTATTGCTCGAAAGTAAACGCATAAGCCGACTGTCAAAATGAATGAAACAGCGAATAAATACCCGAATATAAATCGAGCGCAAATAGTGTGACATTAGTATTATAAAGCGAGATTCAAATAAACTTTTTTCTACTTAGGTTCTTGCGCGAATACGCGAGGCTCCTGAATGAGCGAGGCCCCAGGCGGTTGCCCTGCTTGCCACCCCTAAAAAGGCCGCCCCTGACCACGGCACAAGCTCTGCCTAATTTGGTATCAGATAGGAGGTGTGTGAGATCTGTCAAGTTATTATAATTATTTTATTAGTCCTAATAGTTTTTGTGTTCACTTCTTAATTGAAAATGCGGATAGTAACTAAGTTGATGATGCAACGATAACGATAAAAGCAAAAACAGATGTTTTGATATTTTCCTGTATATGTATGTATGACCAAGGCCATCGAGACCGTATCAAATCGATTTCTTAATAAGAACTCATCAAATCATATTTGTGTGTATAAATTCTTTCAGTTCGTTTACTCAGTTAGACTTAATAATTACTTTTATTTTGTTATGGTACTATCCAGCTCCTGGCGCCGTTGTCGGACTCTCGTCACCCATTATTTCCATCATCATCCATTATTTAATTGGTTAATTCTTCTTGCCACTGATGATATATATATATATATAATACACAAATAAATACAATATATATCTATATACATACAATATATAGATATATAATTACTTGCCCTTACTGAATGACTGATTCATCAACGCAGAGAATCTACTAAGAAAGGATTTTTAAAAATTTCACCCTTAATAGCTAGTCACAACTTGTCTTGCAACAAAATATTGCTTGAAGTGTTTACCTATAAGTGTTTATTACGCTATTGCTATTTACATTTTCGTAAATATATTCCTTAAAGTGTAAACACACTGTTTGGGATTCTCACGGAACTTTATAAATAAAATTTTAAAAATGGAAAATTCTTATTATTTAGGCAACATCTATTGCAACATTGTACGTATTTTATACGGATCATCGTTTATCTATAAATAACTACATATCTCTTAACAAACAGTTCTTAATTAATAAAATAAGTACGTTAAAACTATATCACACTTAATATTCTCAATCTTGAGTCATGAAGTCCAGTGAAAATAACAATTATATTCTGCATTCTTCGTATCGTCGCAGCCAATGTCTGCCATTCTCTGACTTTTCCAAAGGCGTTGTGCAACCATATCCACCATTATAATTTAGCATCATGAAGTCGTAACAATTCGTTAAGCCATCTCCGTTGCAGTCCTGGAAAAACAAATTATTTGTCATAACAGAGCTACTTTTTGGATACTTAATGTTCCTGCCCTTGTGGCTGCTAGATATAATAGAGGAGAACCCGACTAGTTCAGCTTGTCAGCAGTTCGAATTCCATGTCCCATCATAGATTTAGGGTTTCTATTCCCCTAGATATTTCAACCTATCAGTCTTGCTTGTCTATTAGTCTAAAAACCCAAGGAAAATTGGCGGCATGCAAGCGGCCGGCCGAACCAAAAGTCGACAAAACCAGCCAAAATCTTTTGCACTGTTGCACTTTACGCTGACCAGATATAAATTGGAAAAAAAATGAGAAAAACGATACGGATGAGCAATAATTGGAGCTTCACTTTCTCGTTTGAGAAGAACCTCAAAGAATCTTAAAAGATTTATAATGAGGCTGCATCATGTCAAGACAGTGATCATATCATTTAGTATAAATGTAGCACGACTACTAAAATTCATTGTCGAACTCGGGGACCATATAAAAATATACTAACTTGTCCAGACGAATATTTTGATATGAAAATCTAGGACCCATCCGGGGCATAACAAACAAGTCGCCTTAAACAGATGGAACCTCGAGTCGTACATGATAGTTGAGGTTGATACAATCACTGCAGATGGTCCCCAAACTTTAATTCAATTACTACTAACAAAACCTGGTGATATTCTTAGTTAAAGGGATTAGCAGAAGCCTGCAAGACTAGTCCGATGACGTTCAAGGTATATCAGGTATGAAATAGTCCCAATTTTAAGTACATGCTTATGTAATGCTTACCCTTCCAAATTTCTCCAAATATTTTCCGACTATCTTTTGGGCGCAGTAATAATTTCTTGCACAATCCTGCCATGCTACAAAAAGATTAAAGCACAGTTACACTTCTGAAAAAAATTGTTCAGTTGGAAACTATATATCGTTACTGTCGATTCCATGCGTTAACTGAATGTACTGTAACATACAAGACTGCATATCTAAAGAAGGGAACCGTTAAAAAGGTAAATTAGAATGGAGGAAGTTAGTTCTGTGAAAACCAGTAAACATTTAAGGAATTCAGTGGGGTATAGTCGGAAAGTGAAAGTAGGAAACTACGTAGGACAACAGCGCTGCAGAGAAAGAAATCTTGAAACAAATCCTATACCAACCCGTAAGGCCAGCGTGGTATAGTAGTCCAGCAGTGGACTGTTAAAGGCTGTTAATGATGATGATAGTTAGAAATGTGAGTACTATTACAGACACCTGACAGGACTTCCGCCGCCCACGGGCACATGCAACTACAAAGAGATACAAGTACGTTGCCGACCTTTGAGCGGCCTTCCCTCCAGCCAAAGTCAGCTCCAAATCTTGGAATTGGAGGTCGTAGTTGGGAGTGGGGGGGTTTGAACTCCGGTATGTTCACCAGTTCGTTGAAAAGCAACGATAGAAATGGCTAACACTGGTTTTCTGTAAGCCGTGGTTTAACTCGGCTGAGCCAGCCCATTTGTGTCGAACAATGGCGCTCCCACGGTAAAAAGACATGTTTTAATAAAATCTATGGACCGTTACTACTCTAAAGGGTTCAAGATGTTTATTGGCCCAGTAAATCAATTATTCTTACCGTTAATTCTTACAGGGTCATCTTCAGGTAGTAAAACTTCGCCTGCCTCCTTCCAATAAATTCTTGAGATCTTGTAAGGCCCGCAGTACCCGTCCTCAGGACAGCCACGAGACATGTTGCATCCTGTTGCTACGTGACATAAGCATTTGTAGCATGCTCCCGATAAATTCGAAACACTAGCACCTGAAACGGATAATCAATATATATTTTGTCACTGTTGGAGAACCATATATATAGGTTGGCTCGACAGGAGTGAGTGATACTACAGCCTCACAGAGGTGTTAAGCAATTCGTTCCAGCCCCGGATCTTTGAGAGGGCAAACCGGAGCACCTGACTCGGGCGCAGGTTTCAGGGGAGCCAAAATCATAATATAATACGATTTAACATAAAATCTTGTTCAACAAAATGCCTAGCATGCTGTGCACGTTGAAAAAGTCATTGAGAGAAAGATATTAAAGAGTGCAAATTTATTAAAGGGTTCTTATAAAAAACTACTGTAAATATTATTATCATTATGTCCCAATCATGAAAAATGCCAACCATTATATATATTTGTAAGTTTTTTTTAGTTTCTGCCCCGGCTCGAAAATATCGTAGATCTGAGGCTGTGTTCAGCTAGTGAGTCAGGTTACCCGAAGCACAAGAATTATCTGGAGGGAAGTCACTCAAAAGTTAACTTTTGTCTCATGAACTGAGGGAGTCTATAGGCGGCGGTAGCTACTTACCATACGATTACCCATCCGCTTGTTTGCCTCTATACCATAAAAGAATATAACTTAGTTCAATCAACACCAGCCAAAGCTGATGAAAAGATTTCTGTTCCCTTATAAAAGGGGAATTACCTAAGTTGTTCCAAAACCAAATAAACTATTATTGACATTGTTAACGTTCTCCTATTAAATCAAAACGACTAATATATTTAACAGTTGTTGGAATGTTAACTTGTGGTAGTTAATTCTTAAGTTCAGAGGGCCCAGTGTGATTTTCACTCAGATCAATTTCCTCTCGAAAGCGTGCGCTTTCGGCGTTGCGATTGGTGAAGATGCCACTGCGGGCAGGTCGCAATGCCGAGCGCCTATCCATAAATGTTGTGGGCTCGATCTAACCATGAGACAACACTTTGTCCATCGTGATCTTTGTTCTGAGTCTGAGTGTTCTTTGTGTCCGTTTCATGAATGTTTGTAAAGTCTTCCCCGCCGCAGGATATATTCCTAGTGAAGTTGTCTCAATAAAAAGAACGAATTATTCAAAATTAAGTATAAATGTCTTACCGTTAGAAGTAGATATCCAAAATATAATAACTGCAAACACACAAATAGGTAAAATCACTAAAGTACTTCTCGTGCTCATTTTTGACCTTTTTGTTAGCTTATCTGAAACAAAAAAGATATTTTTAATAAAGCCTATGAAGCCACAACTAGCACGCAGTACAAAATATAATGTTATCATAGTCCCAGATAATAAAATAAAAAACCTCGTCTTCAAAAAGAATAGTTGCTTACAAAAGACGCATAACTTGATAAGTTATTTCAAACGGAATATTTACCATGTTTACGTTCGGGCATTAGTTGACGATATGTTGGCACCGTTGCAAGAACCATGATCACCGATAAATTCATCCGTGATCGTGGCGCTTACAATATCAGAAACTAATTTTATAATAACTTATCAAGTGGAATTGACCCTGTTCGTTTGAATCAATACATGGGGTCTAGTGTAAGTTTATCCCACATCAACACACTCTCGACAGCAAGCGTTTGGCGTTGTGATTGGTGCAGATTTCAGTGCTGGCCAATGGCAGCGCCGAACGCGATCACCGTGACGATCGAGTAGATTTAAAATAAACTGGCTCTAGGGTTTTGAGTAGGCGCTAGCTAAGATGATTTTTAATTTTCATTAAAAAATATTTTAATACTGTTTGGTTGGAGCAGAACTCTTCCTGTGCCTAGATTCTGTAAAAAAACTTTACTTAACTAATTATTCATTTTAATTAAACAGAGACTTGCTCTGAAATGTATCTTTCTATATTATTATTTCTTTTTTTTTGCGTCAATTTTGTTTCCCATTTCTCATAAATGCAATTTTAATGTGCCACAGCGAAACAAGGGAGGGTACAGCTTGTTTTTCAATTGTACATATGTACATATATAAAAAATAGTAATGAATAGAAAATAAATTCCTAAACGAGTAGTATTTTTAAACTGACAGTAACCTATCCTTATGAATAGTATTGCGATTTCTGTTAGTCATTATTGAACAATAACACAGTCGAACATTATTATAATATAACAATAAAAAGTGTATTATTCCAATCAAAGTAACATGAATGCAATCATAATTCTAGCACTAGCAACAACGTCAAATTCTTTCATATAATCGTAATACATCAGTTTAGTACTGATATCATGAGTAGAGAATCTAGTTTTCTAAAGGATAAAAACATAAAATTATGTGTCTATAGTTTTTAATATTCTACATAATTTGTTTTCTACCCAATACACACATTTAGTACATCCGTCCCTATAAAAGGTTGTCTGTAAAAATTACAATAAAGCGATAAGACTGAATATAGTGCCTTAAGTAGTTTTTTATTAAAAAATACTAGGTTTATCCCGCGGCTCCGCCTACGTGTTTGTCAGATAACGCGGTAAAAAGTAACCTATATTACTCGCTCGCAATGTAGCTTTCTATTGGTGAAATAATTTTTCAAATCATTTTAGTGGTTTAGGCGTGAAAGCGTAACTCACTTTCATATTTATAATATACTAGCGATTTGCCCGGATTCGCACGGGTGCAATATAGATACTACTAATACTACTAATGTGGTGTCAGTGTGGATTAATTAATTATACTATTATTATGATAGGACTATATACTACAGGAAATCTTTATATGCAATATTTATAGGCCCGCTCCGATCTTGCCGACCGATGCCACCCGCGACAGACGTACGCCGAAGTGGCGACGGCTTTGCCCTCGCATTTTGAACCTCTAATATCTTCTAAAATATTAATTTTATGATATGCTGGAAAGAGAAATTATGATCTACATTCAATGCACAACTATCTAACGCATTTAATTGGATAAGGAATAATAATGTATTGTTTAAATTAGCTTCGTAAATAACCCATTATTTTTTGTAATATTTTAAAGATAAAAATGGTTACTGTGGGTTATCCTTAGGAGATAGACATATATAACCACAGACTTTTTTGTAGATCTTTTTAAGATATAAAATTCCGTAGTACATTATTTTGATCTATCTCGTAACCATTATCCAGCGTTTGCAATGTAAGCGCGCAAAACAATGTTTATTAAGACAAATCTTTGAAATTCTCGAATTTTCTCTACTATAAGATGCATCTAAACGTTCCTCTTAAGTCACTCTCTGTATTGGAAAAACCCGCATTAAAATCCGTACAACAAAAAAGCGACTTTATTTTATACTATGTAAAGAAGTATGTGTATGGATGCCTTCACGATCTATTCATAATATTGGTGTTTGATGAAATGTTTTCCATTTTAGGAATACCCATATTATAATATTCACATAAACTGACTAAAATTAGTTGACTGTTAAGGAAATATAAATTACTGTTAATCTTTATATGTTAATACACTTAAGTTGTTTTAGAAAAATTGATAAACTGAGATATTGGGCCCAAGGTTTTGCTAAGATTAATTAAGTTATTCTGGGAAGATGAGCCATATAACCCTAATTGCTAGTGGGTTACTTGCGAGAAATAGTGTCGAACGGCATAAATTTATTTACATCTACAGTTTTTTAAGGCAATCGACTTTATTACAGGTTTATGAGTCTAGTCAAGAACTAGTCGACCCGAACTTAGTGTGTCTCTCTCGCACAGGACACATTTTCTTTTTTTTTTTAAATCATCATCAACAGCCTTTAACAGTCCACTGCTGGACATAAGCCTCTCCTTAGAAAGGAGGTTTTGGCCTACTATACCACGCTGGCCAGACGGCTTGGTATAGGGTTTGTCAAGTTTTCCTTCTCTTTGCAGTATTGTTGTCCTCCGTAGTTTTGCTCCCTTATTCGGCTCTTTTTTTATAATATGTTATAATTGTACAATGTATAACTTCTTCGCCTAACTACACCGCTCGTTGGCGAGATATGCACGTTTACATGCTAATTTAGTTATTACTTAAAACTACAAAATGTTTCATTGATAGTTGGCACCTATTGGTGGTAGCGTGATGTTATAAAGCCTTTCTCGTTAAATGGGTTATACAACACTAAAAGAATTTTACACTAAAGAATTAGTTCTTGAGTCATTAGTCCAATTAGCGCGTTCAAACAAACAAACTCCTTAGCTTAATAATATTAGCATGGATAAGTAAGCTTAGACGAACACTATTTTTTTACTTTTTTGTAGATCTTTTTAAGATAAACAATTTCGTACTACATTATTTTGATCTATCTCGTCTCGTTTGCAATGTAAGCGGGCAACACCATGTTTTTCACAACAAATCTTTGAAGCTCTCGGATTTTCTCTACTATAATATGCATGTATTATACATAAACCCTTCCTCTTAAATCACTCTGTATTGGAGAAACCCGCATTAAAATCCGTACAACAAAAAAACAACTTTTTTTTGTACAAATAAATATGCTTTTTATTGTTATTTCAAAATAATAGAGATAGAGATTAGCGCGATTATATCAAACAAACAAACAAACTCCTCAACTTAATAATATTACCATGGATAAGTAAGCATAGACGAACACTATTTTTGTATAGATTCCCACTGTGCTCATCTCTATGACTACACGCGTGTGATTCTTAACTAGTTTTACAACATAATTAAGTATTACAAATAGATATAAACAATTTTCCTTAAACGGAAAATGGTCTGCCATCTCCAATAATGAAACTAACACGACATTTGTGTGGTTTTCTACAGAAGTTCCTTCCTATTTCTTATCTTTCCTCAGTCCTGGACGTCCCAGGAATAAAGTCACGTGCGTCTCTAATTTTGTGCCTGGTCGTATCCGCTTTCCTTAATACAAGTGTTATTTTTTTGTTTGTCGAATATCAAATTATACGAAAGAGCATCCGATGTGCTTTGCAGCATTAAGTATAAGTGGAAAGTTTACTTCTAGTTTGCCTGTGACCCAATCAATTTATAAAGACAAAGACTGAAATCAAAACACTTCGTTTCAGCGAGATCTCTTAGACCAAAACGGACGGCAAAAGACCCGATTCCACAATCACGATCGAGCATAAGTTTGATTATTCCTCTGTATGAATTAATTGTTTGCCATTAGTAATTGCGCTTCAATGTTTGAATAACATTAATTTACAAGAAACACATTGATTGCACTGATGGCATAGTGGTTTAAGCGGTCACCTCGCCGCTACCTACAGCGCTGAGTATTCCGGGTTTGTTACCCACATGGGACAACACTATGTGTGATTTATAAATTGTTATTCACAAGCACGATCATTTTTTGTGTCTTTAATTTACATATAACTTGTATGTATTTAGAAATATTTAAGTATGTTTAGTAACAGACTGGTTAATATAGTACATACTCCAAGCAGGCGGCCTAGTTTGGTATCAGGCAGCCGTGTGTCAGATATGCAAGTTTAATGTTATTTAAGTTCTTGTATCTAATTTAAACCTTATTTTAAAACAATAGACTTGGAATACATTTCATAACATAACAGGAATTTTTATAGTAGTTTTCCCCCATCACAAAGTAACATGGTTCCAGTCCGATTTCATTGATGGTCTTTTTTACACCCAAATGTGCAGGACAGAGGCATGTAAAACAATTTAACACATTCAATAGTTCATCAAGTAAACTTAAAGATTCATAAATTATGTAGACACACCTGTTTTATAATTGTTAAACCATAGGTATACTTAAATATTGTATAAAACAAAGACCTTCACATATAATCTGACCTCCTAAACGGTCGTTTCCGCAACCAGTAAACGCAGCCGTTTATAAAGTCACTTCGTAGCAAAACATCCGTTCACTGAGTTGCAACACTCGTAACCAACCACATACAAAACAAGCACACACAAAACTTTTTTTATTTTTAATACTATTATTATTTTCCAGTAACAGTAAGTCCGTTCCTCCGAACAGTTTGACTACGACTGGTGGAATGCTGTTGTTCTCACGTTAAGTATTATAAGCAAATCACATCATTTTATTTTACCTATGTGTCATGATGTGAAGCATCGTGCTTTTTACAACTGGACTATCAAGTTATATGTCGCATTAAATTAAACCAGAAACCTGGTCTATAAAGTTTTTAATTCTTTAAAGACACATACTACAACTTTATATATAAATCTTACTTATTAAAGCTGCACCT